GTGTGTGTGTGTGTGTGTGTGTGTGTGTGTGTGTGTGTGTGTGTGTGTGTGTGGTGTGTGTCATTCACTACAGTTGCTATTAGTAGTCCTATCATATTTTAACATAAATAGGAAAAACTTGTATGAAACCACAAAAGATGTTGGCTGAACAAAGCAGTGTTGAGCAAGAAGAGTTAAGCTAGAGGTATTATACTCTCTTGTTTGAAACCATATCACTAAGTTGTAGTAATCAAACCTTTGTGATACTGACATAGAAGAAGAAGCATAAACCATTGAACAGAGTATAGAGCTCATTAATAAATCTATGTGTATATCATTGACTAATAAGTGACAAACACAAAGAGCATGTGACAGTGAAAGTACTGTTTCTTCAATAAATGATACTAGGAAAACTGACTGACTAGGGATGGAACAGTGTCTTAGTTAGTGTGGGTTTTTATTGCTGTGAAGAGACACCACAACCACAGTAACTCTTACAAAGGAAACAATTGGGGTGGCTCGCTTACAGTTTCAGAGGTTCAGTCCATTATCATCATGGCAGGGAGCATGGCAGCATGCAGACAGACATGGTGCTGGAGGAATAGCTGAGAGTCCTACATCTTGCAGGCAACAGGAAGTCAACTGACTTGCTGGGTGGTATTCCAAGTATAGGAAATCTCAAAGCCTGCCCCCACAGGTCCTTACTATGTTGCCCAGGCTGGTCTCATACCTCCTCCAACAAAGCCATATCTGCTCCAACAAAGTCACACCTCCTAATACTGCCACTCCCTATGAAATTATGAGGGCCAACAACATTCAAACTACTATACCACTGCTCAAATAGTATGTTCACAGATAAATAGAACTATTTCATCAGCTCAGTTGTGCTTTATCATGATAACAAGTAGCAAGCTTGACCAACCAGACACCAGTTAGCTTATCTAACAGTGAGTTTAGAGAGCTTTGGTTAATAAAGAAAGGTAGTTAAGAGGTGATTTAAGAGAGCTTTTATTACATAATGGCAATGAGTAGATAGCAGCCCATTCTCTTCCAAAATAAATAAAATCACAGTTACCTTAATAAAAATGATTTGCTGGTACAGTCACATTTTTATGTTTTGGCCATTTTGTCTTCATTATGACTTCCATATGAACCCATGTTCTTTCCAATATGTTTTAGGCTTTGGTCAAAGAGTTACAAAGTGATGTCCATAGGACCAGACATCGAATCAGGGAGCTTAAGAAGATGCAGAAAGGCAGACATGCTTGTAAAACCTCAACCCATAAAGCCCAAACCTTGGCAGCATCCATCCTGAACATTTCACAATCAGACCTGGAGGAAATACTGGACACAGAAGATGAAGTGGTAAGATCACTTACATATTCATTAATAAAGGGCTTGCTGCACTTTTCTCTAGGTATATTATTTGTTTTATTAATTCTTAGAATTTCATTTTATGGGGCTATTGTCAAGTTGTCGAAGAAACATATTTATAGTATAACCAACTCAACACCTTTAGAGAAAGTCAATATGTAATATAGAAAAGAGTCAAGTATGTAACAGAGAAGGCTAACAGATAAAAAAAGCAGTTAGGAAGATTCATGTTGCTTGTTAATCATATCAATCATCTCTTCCTGTTTCCTCTATTCTCTTTAGCTAATTATATTATAGATCTTGTAAGCCAGGGTTTTTGTCATTGCTGAAGTGTGTGTGTGTGTGTGTGTGTGTGTGTGTGTGTGTGTGTGTGTGTGTGTGTGTGTGTGGTGTTTGAAGCCAGGTCCTTACTATGTTGCCCAGGCTGGTGTCAAACTTGTAGACTCAGGTGATCCTCTTGCTTCAGCCTCTTGCCCCTTTCAGACTACACTCTGTACCACTATACCCAGCAGTAACCACTTTTGGGGGATTATTTTATTTTATTTTATGCACTTGAGTGCTTTGTCTTTATGTGCTTGTTTGTACCACATGCATGCCTGGTGTCAGAAGCAGGCACTGGGACCTCTGGAGCTTCAGTTATGGGTCATGGTGTCCCACCACGTTGGTGTAGAAGTAGCAAAAGCTTCTAACTGCTGAGCCAGTTCGCCCTCCAATCATCACTAGTATTAAATCCCCACTTTGACTAGACCTAGTTCAGTCAAGTCACATTGATTTGATAAAAATCTCTTATGTGAGTAATAAACTTATTGGCTTTCCTGGCTGAATTTATAATTATTTTGAAAATTTCTTGAAAATATTTACTGTTTTTAAATGGATGACATACTCCTATTTGGGTGGATTATATTCTTATATGTGGGCCCTGGGAGAATGATCCTATCTCATCTATATTATTCTTTAAACTTATGAAGAATGCTTGGTCCTGAGAATAGAAGTCTCCAATTATTTAGTGTTTGGAAATTTAAGACAGGATAATACCAGGAACATTCCAGTAAATATTTGCTCGATGATGAAATAAAGCAACAGATTGAAGTATTTGTATGAGACCATCCTCTATGTGCCCTCCTGAGCATCTAAGAGATTTTCTGCCACACAGAAGATCTATAATGCAAAAATATTTAAACTCCTAAGAATTTTTAGAAAAGATCCAAAGGAATTCTGTAGAGATTATTTTCATCCTTTGGGTGAGTGGGGTGATAAGCCATCACTTTCCCTTTTTCCCAGTCCCACACTGGTGCCAGCATCTGTGACTTTCTGCCTAATTCTGGATATGCAAGCAAGAGTATTACCACATGTAGGATAAACAAAGTGCATGGAAGACAGCAGTGCCTAAGCAACCACCGACCTTCACTGTGCTTGCTGCAGACACCTACTTAGAGTTGATGGTGTGCCTCTGTGAGAGTGTGCGTGCTTGTGCCCATGTGTACACACACACACACACACACACACACACACAGAGAGAGAGAGAGAGAGAGAGAGAGAGAGAGAGAGAGAGAGAGAGAGAGAGACGGGGGTGGGGGTGGGAGGAGTGTCACGTGCTTGGGAACACAGAACACTGTGTTTGGTGTTAAGAGGATGCTCTCTCTTGGCTGTAAATTAGAAACCTCATTCCATTTGAATAAGGAAATTAGATACTGTCTCTTTCAAATGTGTGACTTAGAAAAGGTTCCTCACAGTCTCAAACCCTGGAGTACATGTTTCTGTGGTGAAGTAGTATTCCTGACTCTGAGCTGATGCAGTCTGGTACAAGAGAATTCTGCCCACAGCCTCATATGCCACACAGTCTGCAAACCCTCCTGGAAATAAAATGAACTTGAGTACAAACACACTGCTCTGAGTGTATTGATGTATTCACTGTGCTTAATTACAGACCAGAGTGTATTTAGAATGAACTATACATCTTTTAGAGATTAAGGGGTGGAGTGTCTTGCCTGAATTATGTTCTTTAAACTGCATCCAATTGTAATAAATTCATGTTAAAAAAAGTATGAGAGTCTGTGTGAAAGGCCAGGTGTGAAGATTGACATGTAGTAAATCTCAGTGAGTGCTAGTTTCTTAAATGCTTCTATTTTTCACACGTGTGTGTGTGTGTGTGTGTGTGTGTGTGTGTGTGAGAGAGAGAGAGAGAGAGAGAGAGAGAGAGAGAGAGAGAGAGAAGGCCAGAAGATAGAGTTAGGTCCCTCTAGAGCTGGAGTTACAGGCTGTTGTAAGTCCCCTGACGTGGATGCTGGGAACCAAACTCAAGTCCTCTGCAAGAGCAGCTCTTCACCACTGAGCCCATTCTCCAGCCCTGCATTGTCTTTTTACAATGTTACATCTTTTTTATTCTCATCCATCCCTATCTTAAGCCACAGTTTGAAAGATGAAAAAAACTCCTAATTTATTATGAAATAGATAAACAGAGCTACAGCTTCCACATGTATGTAAATATTTATAAATTATATATAAAAATAAATAGCATGGGTTTAACTATTCTACCTTGGAAGAGACAGGCCACTCTTGGTTGATGTTCCCATAGATGTGGTTGCTAGCACAATGAGTAAGTTCATATCAGTTAATGCATCTGTTTTTATTTTCCTTAGGAAATTGAAAAGACAAAGATAGATGCTGAAAATGACAAGGAATGGCTGTTGTATATTCAGAAACTTCTTGAAGGACAGGTATTTCATTTTTGTGCTTCATATATTAAAACTTTCAAGTAAATATTCCAGCCTCACAATTTTAGACACCTTTATTTATTCTGTTAGGTAAAGAAGGATTCCAGAGATAGACAGTAAAGTGAACCCCCTGTTCCCTTATTTACTTCTGTTAGGTAAAGAAGGATTCCAGAGGTAGACAGTAAAGTTAACCCCCTGTTTGTACTTTTGGACTTAACAAATGAAGCAAATGCCTTGAGAAAGAGCCAACATGGGCCTCAGCAAGTGCATTAATTAAATTATTGAGTCAACCTCTCTGCTTGCTAGAGTGAAAAGGATCCATTCTCCCAGACCTCTTAGGAACAGAGATTCTTTATTAGTGTCTTTAAAGTTGGAAGTTGATACGGACACCTGAGGAGTTCATGGGTTTTGGTGACCTTTTACTGTGGACCTGTTTCCAGTCAATTCGTGTTTTCCTCACAGCCAGACAGCTGTTTATTACTGTGTCTTCCCGCATTCTCTACAATATTTTCTACTGAGACCTCAAGCAGCTTGTTAGTGGGAAGTAAATATTGATTTGGCATCCTGTCAATGCAGAAAGAATGAAAAAATTTCCACCAGAGGCCCCTCAAACATTTTCCTATCGACGTTTTCTGGGCCGAGTGGAAAGCCGCACCGAGGATGACAGGGCCAAGACGAGCTGGGGTCCCTGAGGGGTCTATTGAGGCTGCTGCTGTGACCAGTGTGGTAGACTTTTCCTCCCCTTTCAAGTGTTTTTTTAATACACACACAGTCTGCTGGGATGTGCCCCTCTTGTAAGTGATCAAGGGCAGCTTATTGGCAGGTGAGAGCCCTCCTCTTCTAGTCATAGCCGGCTTTTGTTTTGACATCACTGGCAGCTTGTAATGCATTCTAAAACTTTTTCATTGTAGTCCTATTTTTCTCACCCTAATTGTTTATTTGAAAACCAACCTGAACTAAATACAAGCTAAAAAATAATTGTCAAAATGACAAGAGAGAAACCCCATCAATCAGTGATTTTTGAAAGATACTGTGATTGTTTTCTGCAAACATTAATAAAAGAAGTTGATATTAAGTATTGTTACTTTATATCAGTGTCATCGGGTAGCATTTACTGTGTTTTTAGTGAAGTCAAGAATAAATCAATTAAAGGGCTGTAGCTGTAGCACAGTGGTCGTATCTCTATGATTAGCATGTACACAGACTTTAGTCCTACCCTAACACCAAGACAAGAAACAAAGAACAGTAAGTAAATGATATACAGGCCATTTATATTATTAGTATTAACTTTATATATCTTTGAAACATTAGCTGAAATTGCTTCAGTAATAGAATATGATTGGTGACATTTTGGTTAAAGTTGTTGAAATATAGATGCACAGGTGTGAAACAAGGCCTTTTATGGTAACAACTTGTTTTTGAGAAGAGGGATCATTTCTTTTATTTAAGATGTACTTTTACTTGAATCATGTGTATGCATGCATGTGGGGGTGGGGGTGGGCATGGTATACATGAGTGCAGGTGTCTGCAGAGGTCAGAGGCATCAGATCCCTCTGGAGCTGAACTTACATGCAGTTGTAAGCTTCCAGTATGAGTGCTGGGAAACAATTCAGGCCCTCTGCAAGAACAGCACATGCTCTTAACTGATAGGCCAGCTTTCCAGCCTAGAGAGCTCAGTTCTTAATCATGCTGCTTGCCCAGGCATGGCCCAGTGCCGGGCACATGAAGAAGTTCAATAATAGTTGGCATGAAGTGTTTTTAAGCTTAAAAATGACAGAAATAACCCTGTAATGATTTTCTAAGTGTTCACCTTGTAACTAGGACTTTATAGTTCCTTTAATTAGAAATTTTACCATCAATTATGTCCATAAAATAATAAATCAATATGTTTAAATCTTGCTGAAGCTATACTGACCTAGTTTGGAGGTGGTTGTTGTTCATGTGTATGTGTTTGTGTATGTGTGTTGCATGCTTGCTTGTGTATGTGTGTCTTACACATGTAAACGTGCATGTCCATATTCTGCATTATCTGGATATATGCTTATTCTGTCCAGTTAGTGTTAAAAATTCCCTGTTGAAATGGCGTCAGACTGCTTAATACTGCAGGTTGATATAGTGCCTTTTTGGGCCACTGAGCCTGGACTCTGGAATATAATTGCCTGGTAGTATTGATTTAATTGCCCAGGTTTATTTGTGGACTCCTAATTATTGACTGGAGGTAAATTTAATGGAGCAGTCTTTATGAAGACTGAGAAGCGCTGCTGTTGCTGCTGTACATAATGAACTGCATCCTATGCCTTCACATCGTTTTTCAGGCTAATTTTATTCTGTTGTGACAGTATGATAACATTGAAAAAGTCAAAGACTTTTTTATTTTATTACTGACATAGGTGGTTTTGCTGATGTCTTTGGATTCTGTGAGAAGAAAAAATGGGCATTTCAATGGTTGCACTTGAATGTCACTTTATAATTATGCCCAAGAGATAAATCTATAAAATAGAAAACATCTCTTTTCTTCTCTCTCTATCCCAGCAATTATATTTGTCCTGTGTTTTCAGAAATCTTTCCTTTGCCCACTAGGTTTTTAGAGTCTGAGAGGCTCACAGAGTTGTATGGGCAAAACTGTAAATATGTGTAGTTAGTGTACAGCCTCTGTCTCCTCATGTAGCATTATTTACACACCCTTTGCACTGTGAAGTAAGTGAGCATATTCCCTACAAAAGTACCTGACTTGATTCTAGTATAACAGTACTAAAATGTTTAAAAGATAAACATGTAGGGCATATCGTGTCTACTCTCCTCCTGTATTGTTTGGTCGTGTGTGATAGCATCCTGAATATTGTGACTAATCAGCCCCATGACTGTTGACTGCTTTCATGATGCCAGCTATACTGATGACACATTCACAACAAGATGAAAAGCAGATTCTGCCATGTGGCATGGTGAAGCTGTATAATATAAAATCTATCACGGTATAAAATCTATCACGGTCCTTCGTCAGAGAACACTAGAATGGAAGGTTAGACCCTTTTATAGGTGGATGTGTTTAGTTACAGAGTACAAGAACATAATCTCACTATTTTAAGTAGCTATAATGTAATTAGTAGTTCTGTGTATTTGATATTTTTCTGAAGTTTGCAGATTCCTAGTAAGAATCTCACTGAAAAATACCTTTCTAAGATCTGCTTTCATTTTTCTGTGATATGGATGTCTTTATCTGAAAATTTTTACTTGTGCTTTCTTTTCATATTGATATGATATTAAGCTCACAATTTGTGAGGGAGACAAAGAAATAAAGATGAGGGAACCTCCCGCCCCCCCCCTTTTTTTTTTTGGTTTTTCGAGACATGGTTTCTCTGTGTAGCTTTGCATCTTTCCTGGAACTCACTCTGTAGCCCAGACTGGCCTCAAACTAACAGAGATCCGCCTGCTTCTGCCTCCCTAGTGCTGGGATTAAAGACTTGTGCCACCACTGCCCAGCATAAAATTTGTTTTTATGTAGTTTAAGGAATGACTGAAAATAGAACTAAAACCAGATGATTCTGGCATTTGAGCAAGAATGTGCCTTAGGAAGATAGAGGGCATCAGTGTGTGCAGGGCTGTGGAGATGGAAGAGATGAGGGCAGAGGATCTGGATGTGCCCAGCCATGGAAACAGGAGAGCTGCCCACATTACCCAGAGTTAATACACCGCCGACATGAGAGTCCATGGCCAGTCCGAAATCAAAGATGGACTATTTCAGTACCCTACGTAATGAGGAAGCTGAAGGTGTGCTGAAGAACTTCAGTGATCACGAGAGCCAGTGTGTTAGGAAGGAATTTTTAAATAGTTACTGAAGCCATGGACTTTTTAGTAAGTTAACAATATTTGAAGTGTTTTGTTTTTCCTTAATTCATCCCAGCCTTTTGTTGGTCTGGCCTCAGGTTAAGAAAATATTTCACATTCTTGTGTGAATTAGAAAAGATTGAAAGCCCAGATACTTGTATTGGCACCGATTAGCCCCCTTCCCCCTCCAGTGGCTGAGAACGAAGCTGTATTCTCAGCTTAGTTTTCCCTTGGCTTTACATGTTTCTGTTCCCGTTGGTTGCTTCCGATCTTACAAATGCTGAAGTTTAAAGTGGTCGTTTTCTCTGGTATCCTCTAAAGATATGCTTTCCTTCTCCAGAATGCCTGAGAGTGTGATGAACCCCCTGGCCTTTGTAATTGGAGGAAACTATCAGCACAAAAATTAACCTAAGTCCCTCACAGAACTCTGAAACCATCACTCTGTGAACCTGCTTCCTGCGTGGAAGTTGTAACATGTGTTCATGTACTCACAGGCTGCATGCTTACCTGCTCTCACACATACAGAACTGCATGGTCACCCACAGACATTCCTCATAACTAGCTGAAATAGCAAGATTTAAATTCTCTACTCACCCAGCTTCAGTGATTTTATGTAACAATTTGAAGCCTGCTTTTGTTTGAAAAAAGTCACTTTTGGTTAAAGTTAAAGCAATTCTTTAAAATTATGAAATCCTAAACTATACTATGGGCTTGTGGTAACTCTCTTTCTTTAGTAGCCACCTTTGTGTAGTTTTATCTACTGGAGAACATATTCTTGTGTTAGAATAAACCAGTTTCTAGCTGGTACTCTAAAAGTAAATCTTACACAAACACCAGTAGATTCTCTCCTTCATGTTCTACTCAAGATCAGTGGTGTGTTCACTCAAAACCTTTAGAGGGTGCCTATGGTATGCAACAGCATTGGTCACCATGGGAGGCCAAGGCAATAATTCAGACCCTGGGTTTTTAATCTAAAAAAGGAAACACCAAGGTCTCTGTGAAGGTGAGAAGAAAACAGAACCCGTATGCATGATTGATGGGAAGGTAAAGCACTTTGGCCACTCCTCAAGAGATTTATATTGCCCAGAAATTCTGCTTCTCAGTGCTTAACAGAACTGAAAGCAGGCTCCTGAGCAGACACTTGTATACCCAAGTTCATAACAGTTTTATAGACAAGA